TTTTTGGTTTTTTTTTTTTTTTTTTTTTTTGGTACCGGGGATTGACCTCGGATCCTTGCACTTGCAAGGCAGGCCACCAAACCACTGAGCTAAATCGCCGGCCCATGGGATCCTAGATTCTGTACTATAGATTCCTGCCTCCTGAAGGAAAGAATGACAGGTAGCACATGATAGGAAACTGCAATTCCTACTGCACTTCACCTTCCGGGAAATCTTGACGCTATACCTCTGGAGCAGCCAAGAGCTGTTTTTATTTACCATCCACCATGGCCAAGATCTTTGACTAATCTCTCAGCATCCTCAACTTTTAGCTTGGCTTTAGCGTTAGTGAGAAACATAAGGGTGAAAAAATTCAGTAAAAGATTTTATTTTATTTACTTGAGACAAGGCCTCACTATGTAGTTCAGGCTTAAACTTACTATGTATCCTAAGCTGGCCTCCAACTTGTGGTGATTCTCCTGTCTCAGCCTCCCAAGTGCTGGGATTACAAGAAGCGTGCATCACACACTTGGTTCAGCAACAGATGTTAAAAGCCCAAGTATGTAGTTTCAAAAGGTGTTAGAAACTTTCTTCTCTTACTGTGACTATTTTAACGGGGGGCGGGGATGAGTATTTTTTTCAGTATAATCTTCACAAATTTAACATATTAACTCTAAAAATACCTACCTTGTTAACTCTTGACATAACAGCAAAAATAGCAGCATCAGTCATGACAGTTGTCTCAATTCCAGCTTTGGATAAATTGACAGCCATTTCATGGCCCTGCAATAGGAGGGAAAGGCTATTGCTGGGAGAGAAATGACAGTGAAAAGAGCTTTCAAATGTAAATGGATCTGGGGAATTCTGTGACACAGGCATATCTAGCACACAATTTCTAACACATAACTCATTTTTCTGGTGAGTGGCAGCAAAGCCCAGGGGAAGCTAATAAACATATATTACGCTGCAGCAGCACAAGAGTGCCCACAAAACTGGAAATACAGCTTGCTTGCATAATCAAGCACAGCTAACAAGGTAGGTTCTGGCTCACTATTTTACAACATCCTGCATCCTTACATATTTCTTTTCTGAGACCTATTATTTAATTAAGGATCGAGTGAGTGAGATCAGAACAAGCACTAGTCATACTCAAGGTAATATATACTCTATTCTGACTCCTAAAAGAACCAATTATTTCCCTCTTTAGACCCAGCAGTTCACCCAACTTTCTTAAATCAGTGAGTCCTAAGATGCTCACTGCATGAACAACTCAACAATTTCCTTAATATCTTTTTAATGTCTCAATGTCTTCCCTATCAATATAAAGATAGCACAGACCCCATCCATTCCTCCTTACTCCCTCTTCATTTTTTATGTTTCTTAACAACTCCAACAGCCCCATACCTGACAGAAAGGAGCACACTCTGCCACAATAACATGGAATTTCCTCTTTCGGGCAGCTTCTTTAAGGAAGGCCTCTACTGTTCTTGAAAACCCAATGGTCATGATCACCTCGTTGGAGTGGATGTGCTCCAGAGCCTGGGCTGCAATGTTCTCTGTTGTGCCTTCTGCAAGAATAGTTTTGCAAGGAAAATATGAAGCCACCATGCTATAGTGCAGAGAGATGTGACAGTAACACGGAAAGGGTTGTCTGCCCTTCACATATACCGCCTCCCTGGCAGATCTTGGTACCAAGGGATAATAAGCTTAAAGTGAAATGTCACAATTTCTTAAAAGCCCCATTCCTCTGAGATCTTCTAATTCTCAAATTCTCAATCTATACCCCTTTTGCATCAACAGCCCTGCCTATCAACTGTCTCCCTGCCACTCCACCAGCTTCTTACAATGGTTCCTGAAGACAATGAATTCATGAAAGAATAGTCATCTGGGGAGTCCTAAAGGGCTGTGATCTAAACAGAGATTTCCCCTAAAACAACTCTTCCTACAAATTGGCCACAATGCCTCAGTCTGAGAAAGGAAAAAAAGAAAAAAAATGGGGGTAGGGTTTGGAAGCTGCAGTTTGGGGCACTGATAGAACCTGGCTTCTTCATCCCCAGAGGAACTCTGACTGTAATGAGTATCTGTCTTGGGTCACAAAGACGAGGATAAAGTTAGCATATATGTGTGTATAAAAGTTAAAGAAGTTTAGTGAAGGAGGCTTTATCAAGTGGTGCTTTTAGAGTTCGTTTTCTTTACAATGAAAATGAACCTCTGGCTGCCACAGTGGATCACGTCTATGAGGAGCTGGCTCTGTATGGATAGCGAAGTTTACTTTAGTCCTTCTACCTGCTCCACCCATTCCTAATCAGGATGGAGGATAAACTGCTGGAAACCAGAGGACTGGTAATCGCTCCATCTCTGCTGAAAAATAACGTCTATTACTTTTTTTCTTTTTTCTTTTTTGGTAGCGGGGATTGAACTCGGGTCCTTGTATTTGCAAGGCAGGCTGCTGAACCACTGCGCAAAATCCTCAGCCCCGAAAAATAACTTCTGGGGGCTTTGGTTTTGTCTTCTGCCTGCCACCTTAACCACACAGTGATCAGATCTCTTACCTAGCTCCACCAGCAGCTCATTAATTGCTTCAATGATGTTGGACTGAAGCTGGGCATAATGTAAACTGAAATCCTCGCTCAAGCCTCCGGATGTCAAGAGCTTGTGCAGGGACTCTTGCTGATCGCTCTCATCGCTGCGTCCATGTAGTCTATGGGGGTAACAAGACCCAAAGAGTGAGGTAGGGGGAAGTTGTGCTCAGGTAAGTAACAGGGGCTCCTCGGCAACACTAAAGGCTCCAAGCACGGAGAGGGAACATGCTAGGTCCAACCCGGGACCCAGGCCATGAGCCAGACCTGCCATACTCTTCGCGGATGATCTTGAGCACTCTCCGCGCCATGTTTCCCACGGTGGTCTCGGAGGGCTGTGCTGTCATCATCCTCCTGCCCTCTCTGCGGATCAACTCCATCAGCTCCCCTAAAGCCGGAGAGAGCGGGGCTGAGCGGAGCCGGTGCACGACAAGTCCTGAGCGACTTTTAGCCTTGGGATCAGGAATGAAAAGGGTACGGGGACGCGAATGCAGCCAGGCCTGCCTCACCAGCGTTACTCCAGAGATGGTCCGTGATGATCCGGCGTAGTAGCCCTAGGGTCTCCCGAGCCATGTCCTCAGAGCTACGCTGCCCGCCGCCCCGCTTCAGGGTCTCCACGAAGCTCTCGATTGTCTCGGACAATTCGGAGCCTTTCGCCGAAGCTCCCGGCATCTTGACAGCAGTCGGAAGACCCGCTGAACCCGCACCTGTGGGACGGCAAAATTGTACTTCCGGGGCAAAGGAGGTCAACTTCCGCTCTGCAAGAAAAATTCCAGTTTGAGCAGGGGCTGGTTCGTCCCCTCCGTCTGCGTAGACCAATCAGAGATGCGGAGCTCGAGTCCTCCCTTTCCAATGTCCAGAAGGAGGACCGGAAGTGACCTTTTCGGTCCCTTCAGACGCTAACCAACAGTGACTTGTCTGGCTGTAGTGGAAAGGTAGTCCCGTTGCTGTGGGAACAGCAAGTCCCTAAGCTTCTTCCCCACTAATGAGGTTACGTTAGAGAAGCTGCCGCCCTCCTTTCTGGCCGCCTGCAGTCTTGACAGAGCTCTTGTCCGCTTGCAAGACAGGTGCAGCACCACTAACCTAAATCTCCGGCTGTAATTTAGCGTCTGTTTACTTTAGGTAGTTTCCTCGATATGGAATCTTTAAGCACGCCTTTTTTTTTTTGTACCGGGGATCGAACTCAGTACCTAATGCTTACAAGGCAGGTGATGTAAGCACACATTTTTAATCCTTTTGTTACAAGTGACAACCCATGAACCAAAATCTGCAACAAATTATTAAATCTTAGAAATATTTGAAAAAGAAAAATAGATAATGACAAAGGGAAATTTAAACCTGGAATGCAAAGCGGTTCAGTATTTGAAAATCAATCAATATAATACATCACATTAACAATCTAAGAATTAAAAGCACGTGATCATATCAGTTGACACAACCAATTGACCAAATCCAAGGTTCCTTAAAGATAAACTCAGAAAACTGGGAATAAAAAGGAACTTCTTCAATTTGATAAAAGGCAACTACAAAATTATACATGTAAAATCACACTTTTTCTGTGGAAAACTGCTTTCTCTGAAGGTCAGAAACAAGGCAAAAGTACCTAATATCAATACACCTATTTAACATCATATGCAAAGTCCTAACCATTGCAATAAGGCAAGAAAAAGAAAAAGCATATAGAATATGATATAGAATATCAAGAAAACTTATTTACAAAAGACAATAAAACCTACAACAACTGTGTTTAGCAAGAATACAAAGTCAAAACACAAAAATGAACCATTTAAAAATCAGGAACTGTCTTTGACAAAGGGGCCAAAAAACATGATGGAAGAAAGGCAGCCTGTTTAATAAATAGTGTTAGGAAAACTGGCTATCTACACACAGAAGATTGAATCTAGACTCCTTTCACCATATATTAAACTAAAATAAAAATGGATCAAAGATCTAAATATTAAATACTTAATATGTGGTAAAATAAAATAGGTAAAACTCTTGAAAACATAGGCATAGGAAAGTACTTTCTGAACAGAACTCTAATTGCACAATAGATAACACCAAGAATCAACACAGAGTCACATCAAATGAAAAGGCTTTTGCACAGTAAAAAAAAACCAAAAGTGAAGACACACCCTGCAGAAGGGGGAAAATGTTTTGCCAGCTATTCCTTAAACATAAGACAAATATGTAGAATTATAAAGAATTCAAACAAATCAAGCGAGGCATGATGCCGCATGCCTTTAATCCCAGCACTCGGGAGGCTGAGGCAGGAGGATCGCTGTGAGTTCCAGACCAGCCTGGACTACATAGTGAGTTCCAGGTCAGTCTCAACTACATAGTGAGACCCTGTCTCAAAAATTAAAAAAAGTACGTATTGGGTATTGTATTTTAGCAACAAGAAAGTGTCCAAGACATCACTGTTGTTTTAACTTTCATTTTCCTGATTGCTAATAATGTTCCTTCTTTCATGTTTGTTGTTCTTTTGTGTGTGTGTGTGTGTGTGTGTGTGTGTGTGTGTGAAATGTCTATTTGTGCATGTTGCCTCCTGCTATTGTTTGAATGTTTCTTTTTAAAATTATTGTTTAAAAATTTATTAGTACATAATGATTACATTTATTGTAGGGAGTGAGAACATGTACATAACACACTTTAATTTTTTTACTTCCCCTTTCCCTCTCCTCCCTTATATATATCTCAGATCCTCCCCAAATAAAAGACCCAATCAAAACATGGGCAGCTGAAATGAACAGAAACTTCTCAAGAGAAATACAAATGACCAATAAATAAATGAAAAAAATGTTCAATGTCTCTGGCCATCAGAGAAATGCAAATTTAAACAACACTGAGATTCTATCTTAGTCCAGAAAGAATGGCTATCATGAAGACAACAAAGGCTGGGAAGGCTGTGAGGATGGGGAGCTGGGAGGAGGAACCTCTCTAGGCTCTTGGTGGGGATGAATATAAACTAGTACATGACTTTGAAAATCAGTATGAGGTTCCTCTAAACACTGAAACTAAAAATTTCATTTGACCCAGCTAGTCCCCTGGGAGGTATCTTTCTGAAAAGGTGAATACATCATTTTACAGTGACACATGCAAGCCCATGTTTATAGCAGCACAGTTCAAAATAGCTAAATCTTCCAAGTGACCTGCATGTCCATCAACAGATGAATGGATAAAGGAAATGTGGTATTTACACACAATGAAGTACTGTTGTGCAATAAAGGAGCAACAACTTGAGTCATTTGTAGAAAAATGAAATCACCTTGAGACAATAATAAATCAGACACACAAGTTTAAATACTGCGTTTTCCCTTACATGAGAAACCCAACAGGTAAATAAAGAGTAAGATTAAAGATGGATAATAGAAAATGAAAAAAAGAGATGGAAAGGGGAGAAGGAGGGTAGGGAAAAATGCAGCTGAGGGCATGAAGGGGAAGGGGATGTGAATATAATTTTAAAATATTACATGTGCCAGCTTAGGATGTATGTAATGCAAACATGTACTGATAGAAAATTTTTAAATGGGAAAGGACTTAGAAGTTAGATTTATTCTATAAGTTTTCAGAATTAACAATTATTGCAGAAGTGAAAATAGCTATCATGTCAAAAAAAAGGAATAAAGAGACAACCCAGAGAATGGGAGAAAGTCTTTGCCAGCTGCTTTTCTGATAGATATATAAAGAACTAAAAAAAAAAAAAGCAAAACACATCAAAAAATCAAGTGGCCTGACCAATAAATGGGCAAACAAATTGAACAAACACTTCTCAAAGTAAGTATGAAAGGCCAAAATATAAAACAGTGTTAAACTTCTTTAGCCATTACAGAAATGCAAATCCAGGCTTTATTGAAATTTCCTCACACTCTGGTCAGAATGGCTATCATCAAGAATAAAAAATAAGTGCTGATCAGGATGCAGGGAGAAAGGAAAGGAATCCTTCTGCACTGCTAATGGGAATGTATATTAGTACAACCACTGTGGCAATCAGTATGGCAGGTCCTCGAAAACTAAAAATGGAATTACCACATGAGGTATATACTCCTCGGTAATTTACCAAAGGAATGAAGGTCATCACACTATAGGGATGCTTTGCATGCCCGTGTTTATTGTAGCACAATTCGCAATCGCTGAGATATGGAACCAGTTTAGTTGCCCATCAACAGATGAATAGGTAAAGAAAATGTGCTATATATACACAGTGGAGTATAATTCAGCTAGAAAAAGAACAAGACTATGTAATTTAAAAGAAAATGGATGAAACCGAAGATCATCTTATTAAGAAAATAAACCAACTGTGCCTGCCTCACAAGTGCCAGGTCCTGAGTTCGATCCCCGGTACCAAAAAAGAAAAAAGAAAGAAAGAAAAAGAAAATAAGCCAGACTGAGGTAAGTATCATGTTTTCCCTTATATGTGAAATCTAAAAAAGATGACATGAAAGTAGATGGGAGACTGTAGCAGATAAAAGAAAGGGAATAAGGAGAGGGAACGCGAGTAGAAGGGAAGATATGATCCAAATATTTGGATGTATGAAAATAATACATTGTAAAATATAAAAATGTATTTCAGAAAAAACAAAATAGCCTTATTCCTGTAAATAGAAATTCAGAAGAAATTAGAACTATTAGTTCTTTTTTCTATTACTACAATGAAACATCAGAGGCAGGCTAACTTTATTTTTTAAAGGTGTTTAATTCAGCTCACAGTTCTTGAGGCTAAAAGTGCATGGTCGGGGTGGAAGGCAGGCAGTGGGGACTTGGCCTTTGGTGATACCTAAAGGTGGATGGTATCACAACTGTCACGATGGTAAGAAGAGATCATATCTGGAAACAGGAAACCAAAGAGAAGGCGTGGGACCAGGTTTTCTTTTATAGTAGCCTTCTTGGGAGAACAAAACTATGTCATTTAGAAGAAAATGGATAGAACTGGAGGTCATCTCATTTAGCAAAATAAGAAGAAGAACAAACCTGTCATTTACAAGAAAATGGGGCTCATGAAAACTATTTTTATTCTCACTAGGCCTCATTTCTTATAGTGTGCACCACCTTCCAGTGTCACTACACAAGGACCAAGCTTCCAACCACATGTACCTTAAAGAGCAAAATGCAAAATAGATAACATAAAATGAGAAGCTAGACCTTTTACAAATGGGAAAGGGAATAAGAGTCATATGAGCAAGGGAGGAGAGGGAAAGGGGAAGTAAAAAAATTAAAGTGTGTTATGTACATGTTCTCACTCCCTACAATAAATGTAATCATTATGTACTAATAAATTTTTAAACAATAATTTTAAAAAGAAACATTCAAACAATAGCAGGAGGCAACATGCACAAATAGACATTTCACACACACACACACACACACACACACACACACACAAAAGAACAACAAACATGAAAGAAGGAACATTATTAGCAATCAGGAAAATGAAAGTTAAAACAACAGTGATGTCTTGGACACTTTCTTGTTGCTAAAATACAATACCCAATACGTACTTTTTTTAATTTTTGAGACAGGGTCTCACTATGTAGTTCAGATTGCCCTGGAACTCACTATGTAGCCCAGGCTGGTCTCGAACATGCAGCGATCCTCCTGCCTCAGCCTCCTGAGTGCTGAGATTACAGGCATGCACCACCATGCCTGGCCCAATACCTACAATTTAAACAAAG